CGGTGAACGTGACTTTTAAAAGGCATTTACTGGCTTTTATAACAATTATTTATTAATCATTAATTACCAAAAATAACTTGCCAATTAAGGTTTATGCTTAAAATATTTCGGCTCTTACAAATGTTAACTTTCAGTATTTTCTACCAGATAAGTTTTTGTCCAGATTGTTTAACAAGGATCATACAAAGCGTTTTATTTTCCCAGCATTAAAGGAGCACATTCTCGTGTTTTAGAGGTTGTAAATATAAAAATACTGAAGTTATGACTTTGTATTTTAAGAAGGTCAGGTGTTCATGTGCATTCTCTTATAAGCAATTAGTCCAAAACATTAAGACTGCAACATTAATTGATTAATTCATCTGGTCACCAGGGAAGAAATCTGCAAAGCATATCTCTTGTGTTTCAGTTTAATTTAATTTACTACTTTATCAGTCATATGACATAACTGGATATCTTTTCAAGTTTCGGGGTAAAAAAACAACAAAATTTGAAGAAAGTCCAAGTTTGGGATTTGGACTTTTAGAACAAAAATGTTTGGACGTTAATTAAACTAAAATCGATTATCTTCTAGGGAAAAAACAATCAAGGCAGATTAATTGATAGTTGAAAGATATCGTTAGTTGTAGGCCTGATTTTGAATTTTATAATGCTATACGACTATTTAGAATGGGGGTTGCATTAATGCAAGATATTCTATAAGGATAAACTATCCTAATGCTGGCAGGGAACTATACATAAAAAAGTTATGTACCAAATTTTTCTCAACATGGCTGAGCACTTAACATCGTTCCCCACAGCCAGCCACCCACTTTGACGAGGGGGAACCCAGAGGACGGGACCAGCCCGTCTATTCAGGACTCTAAAAATGAGACGTTCACTAAGTGACCAAAACCCTGCTCCCAACACGTTTCAAAAACACGATTCAAAATAGTGTGAACGACCGCGTTGGTTTAAGCACAGCATTAATGGACAAGCAAAACTCAAACATGTATAACTGAGCACAAACAGAAACTTCCCCTCGCCAAAAAAAACCAAAAAAAAACATTGAAAAACATTGTCTTAAGGCACGCCTTCACTCTCGGATGATTTTTTTTTTTTTGGTTAAATTAAAATAACTTCATTTGATATAAGGCAAACACAACGGATGTTTTGTTTTCTCCCCCCAACTTATATAAAAAATGACGGTGGCCACGTTCAAAAAAAATTCTGATCTTGATCACAAGGTTTTCTTTATCATAAAAACAATCGTTATTTAAGGTTTTTAAAACAGGATAAACTTAATGTAATGGTTACTGTTCAAATCGAATCAGGTTTTTTTTTTTTGACCTGCATAGCATATTGGCTTATGTCCTCCAAAAGGGCCTGGAAGGAATTCAAAAATTGTTGCTCTTCTACTGTACAGGATTCAGCTGTGGACAGGGATGCTACCGTCAACAACGCTTGTTTCTGGAGCGAATAGAAACGCCTAATTAAACAATGTTCGTCTTTATACCAGATTTCCAGTACAGACGCGTTAAACAATCAAACAGGAAATTACAAAAGAAGTGGAATGCAAAAACTTAAAAACAAAAATAAAATAAACCCTTAGTATTTTCAAAATTTTTGGTGAAAAAGATTTGTGCCAATATTCGTTCTGCCTATTAAGTTAAGATTAAGCAGTGGCCAGTATATCCCTTGCTTGGTTTATTTGAGTTATTTGAAAAAATTAAATTATTTTAAAACATTAAAACTTGGACATTTTGACAGGGCCAACTCCATGTTTTTATAACAAAACATTTAAAAAGGTCTCACCATGTCCAACGGAAACATCTCTTATAAAGGACCAGTCCCAATTCAAAAAAAAACAAGAAAAAGAAAAAGAAAAGGCAAAAGCTCTTTACAATGTCAGCATTAAAAAAGGAAATTACACTTGAAAAATGGACGCAAAAAAAAAAAAAAAAAAAAAAAAAAAAAAGATTGGCGTAGTTTCCTTTTCTTTCTGTTTCAGGGAAAGAAAGAAGAAAGAATTGGACGTGTTTTTGTGTTGTTGTAGATCAAAGTCATGCCACACAGCGAGCGCGCCCCACAACCACACGCACACACACACACCTCAATCCCACATACTGAGTTGGCTCGGTCCGTTCGATCGTTTCCCGGGGGAGGGACAGAGGGAAAAGGGCGTTGAAATATTGTTTTATTTAACTTGTGTTTTGTGGGTTCCGCCTCCTCGACACTGCCCGCCCTCTTACTCAGTATTTCCTACGTTCCACAGCAATACTTCACACAACACCCTGAGGAAACCGCTTCGCGACTCGTTGTCACTTTAGTGAGCAGTGGAGGACGACCAGAGCGGGAGGGTTTTTCAAATTGAGAACAGAAAAGTAATAAATACTAATAAAAATCCCCCCCCCCTCTTCTTTTTTTACTGTGGCACAACTGTTGACATTGGTCGCCTCTTCTCCCCAGTCTGATTGTTAAACATTGGCCTATAAAATTCTGCCTCTTTGGCCTTGAGGGCGCCTTAAAACAAAACCAAAAAAAAAAAAAAAAAAGAAAGACCTTTGTTTTATATATACAATTATCATTAGCTGAACATTTCCTTTGCTTTTTAAACTAAAACGTGGCTGCCTGCTAGAAGTAGTATTGACGCGGTCGTTAATTTTACTTTGGCCCGTTAATCGCAACATTACAAAATACGCCAAACAATAAAACTGGGGCCGGGGATGCCAACAGACTGTGCCATTACGATGCTGTTAAAGTTTCTGGAGTTGTGTTTTGTTTTCTTTACACTTGCCCCAGATATATGGGCAGTGGGGCTGACGTTACGGCTTGCAGAGTTGGAAAAAAATCGGTCGCTTACCAGGCCCTCACTAACAGCAATAAAACTTTTGTGTGTGTGTGTGGTAACAGAGAGAGCACATCTAAAGCGCTCCTTTTCCTCCCCAGCAGAGTATCATCCTTTTTTATAGCGGCCACGAAGAGGCTCGGAGAGGCGCTACTGCGGTCGGTGATCAGTGGGTGTGGTAGCCGGCGGTGCTCATGCCAGCCTGGTTGGTTAGCACCGTCCCGTTGACGCCCTGCGCGGGCTCCACCATGCCCCCGTTGCTCACGGCGCCCACACCTGTCCATCCGGCGCCGGCGTGTAAATGACTGGACAACAAGACAGAAACAAGTGACCCAGATTATTCTAGTGAAACTAAAAGCTAAAACTAGCTGTGAAGAATCATTTTAAGCAACTGAAATTAAAATAAAAACTAGACTTTGGGAAAAAACAACAAATATGAGGAGGTGTTGGTCCATCTGTTGAGAAAGGGAAGTCTACATGCAGTGTGAGTCAGTGTGTTTGTATTGTAATGGCTATTCTGAGCTAAAAAAAACACTGAAATTAATAAAATCTAAACATGTTTAAACAATTTAAACTAAACTGAAATAAGCAAACCAACTCAAATAAGGTGAATAGAAATATAAACTAATGAAACTATAAAGGACACAGTGATTGGAACGCTATCAGACATCAACAAAGCTAAATGTACTCTTAAGTGGGCATCAGAGACGGACTGAAATCTGTTTCTCATACGTACATAAACTCCTCCTAAGTACTTTGTTCAGCCATCGGACGGAAATATCTCCCATCAGCTATAAAAATAAAAAGTCTCACTGAAAACCAGCCACAGAAATAAGAGGCGATTTCCACACAGAAGGCTGCTGAAGCACCTGATCCCTGACGACGAGTTCACCTATTTAATGATGTGTGTGGGTGAGAGAAGAGCCCCGAGGGGGGGGAGGGGGACCTTTACACTGTTAAGTTTATAAATACGATTCATCCACATTTGCTAGCACAGGTTATTATCCTGCAGTTAGCAAATAGCTTCAGGTGGTGAAGATGGACTGTAATCGAGTTGTAATCTGGCCAAACATATCTGGCTACGCACCAGGATGCTCTTTTTATGGGGTCTTTTCTTTATCATGTAGCCTTATCTAGCTATTCTTAACAACAGTGTATATTAAATATTAAAATTAAGAGAAGAGAAATAGCTTTTTAATTAATTTGAAAGGCAACATGTACGAAATATTCCACAACTTCAACCACAGCAGCCTACGATGGTTATTGGGAGATTAGAGCTTAAAGAAACAGAGTGTAACTGTGGTTTATTTATATTTCTAGTAGGTAATTTCTTATTTCACCCTTTTAATTCTGCTTTAATTCTCCACCTTATTTCAGTGTTTATTCAGAAACCACTTTAAACTGCTCCCCTCAGGACAAAAGGCCCAGTTATTGTCTCTAGCAAAGCTATTCCCACTGCTCAGCACATCCCTCGCTCTCCATCACAGTGAATGAAGCGTAAATACGGCTGCGACTGCACAAAACAGTCCAATATTCAGTTATTAAACAAGGCGGACATCCGCACTGTTGCTTGTATCACAAAGCGAGTGAACGCGGTTGCTAAAAGGGAAGGGAGCTCCCAAACCTTTCCATGCAAAGGCAGCACAATTAGCATTAACTTACGGCGAGGGCAGCCCACCTTTCTGCAACATGTCTTTAAAAACCCACCGATAAACACTGCGGCAAGCGTGAGATCTGCTCGTCAGCTCTTTCCCTTTTTAAACAAGTGTCCATTATGACATATGATTTAGATGTCCCCCTTTCATCTTCTGAAGAGGTCAAACGCTGCCAGCTCCCACTCTGCTACAGGGAATGTCATTAAATTTAGCACCGCAGTGACGGTAACAAGAGATAAGACAGATTTACGGAGGAGGGAGAACTTTTGCAAAAACATGTTGTCGCATTCACTCTCCCCAGCTGTTCCTCTCTGGTACTCACTTGTAGCCCTGCTGATCCCAGGTCTGCCCGTAGACTCCGTAGCTCGGCACCTGCCATCCATTGGGCACATACTGACCAATCTGCTGCGTGTTGCTGTACCACTGACCCCACTGGCTGTAGGGCTGCGCCGCCGCGAAGCTCACCGTGTTCTGCTGACATACGGAGGAAATATTTCAGGACGCGGGGGAGTATCACATTGCAACCGACGTCACAGCAGCACACTGAGGAGCTCACAGGCAAACGGACGAGCACTGTAGCAGCCATACGTGGGGTTAATGTAATGTTAAGGAGGCCGTTGAGGGCGATTCTGGTGCATACCTGTGGCATCTGAACTTGCTGTATGGGGCTAACCATGTCTGTTGTTTCCTTGCCCCAGTAACACTTAACAACATAGCCCTCTATGGATGTGCCGTTGACAGAAACAATGGCGTGAGCTGCTGCTTCATGGGAGTTGAACCTGCACACACACAGAGAAAGAGAGAGAGAGATCTCAAGTCATCCTGCACATACGTGAGGTTTATATGCGACTGTTGAGAGTGAGCTTACCTCACGAAGGAGTAGCCTTTGTCTGGGAAAACGCGGATTTCCATTATTTGGCCGAAAGGTGAGAAGGTCTGTCTCATAATTTGCTCTACAAACAGGAATAAAAAAAAAGGTTAATAATCCATGTTTTATTTAAAAAAATAAGTGCTTTTAAATCTGCAGCGTAAAAAGTAGCACGACTCACCCGTGAGACCCATCGTGACTCCCCCGCAGTAGACGGTGCAGTTGCTGGGGCTGGACTGGTTGACCACCTCATCGAAGGATAACTGCTTGGTACTGGTGGCTAAAAGGGAAAAGTTTCTCTTAAGTTTAGATATTTTATTGGAAGGTGTTGAAGTCAGTTGACAGTTCTAATAAAGATACATACACCATTATCATTTATGTTCTTAGTCACAGCTGAGTTAGTTAAGAGTTTAGTGCTTAATTAGCACTAACGTGCAGCTGAGGGCTGGTGGAAAATGTCATTAGTTTTACTGTTATTTGTATTTAAATTTTGATTTGATGAGGGTATTAAGTGGAAGATCAGAGGATCAACATTTATTACGATTGATCCTGATAAACTGAAGAGGGCTAAACACAGTCCACTGATTCATCTTCATTTCTGAGTGAAAATATATCTGACTTTGTCTTAATGAGATATTACAGCTAAATATTGGAGCTCGATTCAACCAGTAACAATGATTTTCCATAATATCCCAGCAGATGAACAAGTTTATTTTCCTGAGTTCCCAGTGTTGGAAATGAAGCAGCTGTTTAGTTTTTTCATTGTTTTAATAAAAAAAAGCTAAAAATAAGAAGCTTCTGGTGCTTTCATTGAAGATAGTCACTTATTTTTATTATGTTTGAAGAAAATGTGTCTTATTGTAAGTTTTTACATAAAAAAAGGGTACAAATCCTTAAATACATCTCAATAAAGTGCACAACCTGCTTAAATTTGGGGCATGTTTTCCAGTTTTAAGCCCCATTAATGTCGTTCAGTAGCTATATTTTTATGTTAGTTTCATGAATTCTAACCAAGTAAAACCGATTTTTTTTTGCTCAATACAAGAAGAATTTGTTTCTAGAAGAGTTTTTTTTTAGTGTGCTAACTTACTTTCATTTGTAGTTTTAGGAGCAGGCTTCCTTGTGGCCCAGTTGGTCCTGATCTGCCTCCCTCCCAACCACTGTCCTCCCATCTGCTGTATGGCGTTCTCCGCATCCTGATTACAAACAAGAGCAAACACACAAACACTCCTGAGTCACCAAACAAAAACAACACCTCTCCATAAACCCTGGTTTCAACAATCAGAACCTACTAATGTTTTCTGTGTCCTCGAACACATGGGCTTTTATTGGCACACTTACCCATTTGTTGAAGAAGGAGACAAAGCCATAGCCTTTAGATTTACCTGTGGCCATGTCTTTCACCACTCGACAATCCCTACGGACAAACATTAACACGCAGTCAGTTGAGGATTTCATATTATTAAGAAAGTACCTCGATTATAATGTTTAATTTATCGTTTAACTGCAGATAAAATGTGCATATATGCTGCATAGTAGCATGTTTTATGTTATACAACAGGATGATTTCATGGAATTACATGCAAAGTATTTTGTGTGAATCTAAAGCCTGATATATCCTCTTCCTCTGAGCTGTAGAGCTTTAATGTTTATTAAAAGCACATCAGTGAGCCACACTGTTGCACTGTAGTTTATTTTATACACGGTCCAAATACGCACTATAGCACCAAATGTGGATTAATCCACCATTAAAAGTAGTCCTCAACAAAGGCAGCATGTACTAGGCTGCAGGTTTCGGGCTTTTCAAAATAAAATACAGAATTAGACAGACTAATAGCGATCACGTGTAAAACACTTACGATATTTTCCCAAATGGAGCAAAAGCGGCTTTTATGTCATCTGTGGTAATTTCAGGACTTAGATCTCCGACAAAGACATGGAAGTGACCTAAAATCAAAACACACACATTCACATTTATACAAACAATTATTTAACACAATAAAAACAGATATATTATAAGTCAATGATTAAAAAAAAAAAAAAACCTTCCCTAACTGATGCTTTCCTTTATCCTTTAAACATTTGACTGGTTTTAATGAAACAAGGCTCATGTGACTGCATTTCACTCTTAATACTACTTGCTTGTTTATGTAGTATTTTATCTGTTCTTATAGTAGTAGAATAGTATATATGTCTATTTATATACATCACAGAGCGAACCTGAAGAAGCTACAGACGAAACACATTGTTCACTATTAATAAAGTCTCAGTACAATCAGTTCTGTGTGTGGTGGCTCATTCTGATCTATATATAAATGTATGTTTATACCCGTCTACAACCTGTTCTCGTTACAGATTTACATTTACTACCTTACCGCACAACCTCTTTACATTTATAGTCCTACATATTAACTAAAACTGCACTATTTCCTGTCTTAGAGGCCAATTGTAAACCCTTAGTAGAGGAATGAAAACAAAAGTAAAAACACTGTTACACAATCTTCTCACAAGAGAAAGCACAACACCAGGAAACAACCTCTGTACACATTTATAGTCCTACATATTAACTAAAACTACACTATTGCCTGTCTTAGAGGCTAATTTTGCTTATGTGTGTTTCTTATTTATGCATATTTATATGAGCAATGTCATTTTGTTCCATTATATACGTATATAGTATTGTATCTGGACAAAATGACAATAAATTCTACCTTTAACCTTGAAGGGAGGAACCATTTTCCGAGCATAAACTACGCTAACCTCGAGATAATTGATAATACTTACTGCTTGTGTCTTTCTTTTGGCTGGTTGGCGTCGTGGCCCAGTTGACCTTGACCTCCTGCAAGAGAGACAGTTGCAGAGAGCGAGGAAGAGGACAATGGTGAGAAGTGAAGGTATGAATGCAGAAGAGAGGAAGGTGCTTTTTCTTTGATTAGAGGTTTTGTCACACACCAGTTTTACTTAGGTTATATTTTTGTGATTGAGAACTTTCTTTTTTTTTTAATAAGGTGGTCTCTTGGGTTCAACTACAAATGTATTTATCCATTGTTATTATCTAATTGTACATACCTTTGCATTATTTAATTAAAAAAAACAGTAAAATACAGTGGAGAATATATAAAAAGGGATATCAAGATTTCACCTTCATAATCAGGAACATTTCAGTCTCAGTCTAGTAAAAAAATTTGGAGCAAAACTGTAGGAAGTAAGGTCCAAATAACAAGGGACTTACAAACAAGTGATTTTTACGAACTTGTTATACTCCTCAAATGGTCCTTCAATACCTGTTGAGGATAAAATATTTTCAACTGAATGTATTTTCTCTCGAAGTTTGCTCTTATGTGGATTCTATGTGGAAATAACTTTGCAAAAAAGAACACATAGCAGTAAAAGATGTAGGGCCACAGAAGAGCATCAATTAAAAAAAAAAGTAGATCAAAGAAAATGTTACACGTAGCAATGATCACACAGCAGGGCCATGTTAAATCAATTCATACACAGATGGCAAAACTCACTCAAGGAAAATCTTAATTAAAAGCAGAGACAGCATGGCGAGTGACAGTGACAATATAGAAACAACCCAAACATCACCTTGTTTACACCCTATTAGCTATGTCATCTAATACTGAAGAAGCCTGCAAAAAATACTACATTTAAAGCGTATAAAGTTCAGTATTTGTTGTATCAGTGCGCATGATTACAACTAAACCTGGAAAGTCAATTAATTGAGGCTTTCATTACATATGTTTTACTCTAAACTCTAAAGAAAATACTTCTAATAATAGATTTCAATTATTTTTAAGTATAAATGCAAATAAACTGGTTCCAGTTTCTCTAAAAAAGGGAATATTTGCTGTTTTTCTATAATATTTAACTAAATATTCTTGACTTTTTAACTGTTGATTGGACAAAATAAGACACCTGAATATGCCACCGGATCTTTTTCACTATTTTATACTCAAAACTATCAGTAATCCCAATGGTTGATGGCTTCAGTTGATTTCAAAAGGCCCTAGAGTGCAAAACTTGGCTCCACAAACTTCAATTATATTGTTACACACATCAGATACTCTGCAGTGATGAAAAATAAACATTGTTGAAATATTCATAGCTTCAGTTTCTGTGCAAAAACATGAGAATAGGTCTTAATTCAATCATAAATGATCAATATTTAATAAACTGAACTCAACTCTTTGCAGAGGAATGAAAACAAAAGTAAAAACACTGTTTCGCAATCTTCTTAGGCTACTTTTGTGAGGGACTAAAAACACATAAATAAGTCCAAACACACGTTAACAATCAAGTAATCTGATGGCTTTTGTGTTTTGTATCCAGGCCAACTTGACGGAGTAGCTACTGACATGTGTTAATACCAAGAGAAAGCACGACACCAGGAAACAAGTACAAACAAAACACCAAAAGCTCACATAGTTGAGTACTCAGACGTTATGGTTTTTTCTCTTTTCTGGATACTTTACAGCAGTGAGGTTACAGAGTTCAGTGTCTGGTTGTTCCCACCCTGGTCATTTCAGACTGTGCACGGAAAGAATAAAGTGCACAAGGGACTAAAAACAAATTAAGTGAAGTGGAGCAGGAAGATATGGTTTTTAACAAGATACAAGTTGTTTTTTTCTTTCTCCCCCTGCAGCCGCTTCATTTGAACCCTGCCCACCCAAAGCCTTGCCCTAGTTGACTCACCCAGGAGATATGATTGCTTACCTTACCCAGAATTTTCCGACCATTCATGGCTGCAATTGTGGCAGTGGCATGTCTATGCTCATAGAACTCCACAAAGCAGTACGGATCATGACCTGCTGTCTGGAGTGGACAGGAAATACAAATATTAGTCCAACTGAAATCACATTTAGTCACAAATAACGTCAACGTGTGTTAATAGTTTATTGTTAAAGAAAAGGGAAGAAAAAAAAGGAGGAGGGAATTTGTGGAAAATATCAGGAATGCCGTCTGCGGTTTGATTGACAGGCAGGCTGCAAGAGTGCCGGCGTTACACCGCAGGGGCGCGAGAGGCAAAGTAAATAAGCTGTAGTCTACATGTCACGGACAACCGGCGTCTTGTTAGTGCAACTGAAGAGAAAGAACCACACCAGCGTCGAACCGGATCCAAGCGACACGTTTACATGCCGTTTAAAAAGCAGCTAATTAGCCACCGAGACTGTAAATGAACATTAGAAGAGCACTTCTCCCTCCGCCCGGTGATTGCTTGGTCGCCGAATGGTTCAGGAAAAGACGTCCATTAGTGTTTATAAGTTATATAAGGAGGATATTTTTGCAGGAAAGCTAATGTGGTTACCGCTTTACGCAAGATTTGATAGGCTGGATCGAAATATGGTCTCCATTAGGGCTGTTTGTGGTGAAGAAAGTTCCCTTTGAGGATTTAAGGTGGATCAACAGTGCAGCATTATCGCCATTATTGTTGTTTTTGCTAATTATTTTGATGCTCATTAGACTCAAACAGCAGAGTTGTGGTGAACCGGGATGGTTGTCAGACTGCTGGTGTTTCCAGAGCGAGTGAGGCCGGAGCGACGTGACTTCCTCCATCTACGTACGCGGATACCAGAACTCTCGCCGAATTAACGCAAATAGGGGGCGCCATCACGAAACCAACAATTATACAATATAAATTTTATCAAAAGACACAGGAGAAGTTGATTTACGAAAGCGAAATAAAAAAAAAAAATGCTATTTAATTTCAGTCGGACTGTGGCTATTATACAACCCCAAGTAAATATAATGACGTCACCATTTAGCATTAAAACGGGAGGCTGCAATAACACAATAACACTTCAATGTAGAAATAGTTGTGGCTCAACAGGAAGAAACATCAGCGGAGATGAGTAAGCGACAAAATGGGATCACAGGGGTCGGATACGAGGTGTTAATGTACGAGTTCCCAAAAGGAAAACTGCTGTTGTCCTTGAGGTTTAATGCCAAACGGGAATGTTGTGCTGCAGCCAGAGCATCTCTTCGGCCTAGAAAAAAAAAAAAAAAGGAAGAAGAGGGAAGCAGCGACAGAGTGAGAAAGACGACAAACCGACTTACATCTACTATCATTTTACAGCTCTTGCAGGGTCCAATTTGGCCAAACAACTCCAAGATGAGGGCCTCTGTCACGTCCCTGGACAGATTCCCCACATACCTGGATGGGAAGAGAGGACAGAAGACACAAGACGGTACCAATTACTGCTTTGTGATGTGCTGAAGCAGCCAAAATCCAGCCCTGTGACTGGGTAACTAGTTCCCGAGACACTCGATCAGCAGGATCTGATTGGGTGAGGCTGTTAAGATTGTTTTAATTTACACACATGCCTGTGTACAAGGCTTACAGGGTGGTTGCCTCCTTTGTGTTTTGTGACGCTTCCCTTTCCTGTAGTGTTTTTGGGTTGTGAAATTCAACCACAAAAGCACTTTAAAATGTATATTTATGCAACTTTTAAGACATTTCAGGCCTCCTCCTCCTCTCTCTTTAATCTCCCTATAACATAACCTGCTGCTGTTGTCTGGCAGTGTTGCTAAAATAGACTATAACAGACTCCAACGGGGAATTTTACCATAAAGAGCCCATAAAAATGTGTGCAAATGCCAAAATCTCACACAAAAAACACTAAAACAAATAGATACCAGCTCCCAGTAATGCAGATTTCAAAATCCACCTTCATGATTCATGGAAATGCAAATGTGAAGACAGCTCTGTCGTCTGTATTTAATAATAAGCTCTTCGGCTAAACATAGGGTGCAGCAAGGGACAACTAGATAACATTATTACCTTGTCCTTACATCACTGCTGCCTTTAAATAGATTTAAGTTAATCTTACCCTGGTAACAAAAATAACTCGTTTTTTACAATTAGCATATGTTAACATTCAGTTACTGGTAACAGAAATTCATACAAATTAGGAATTAATACTATTATTATTATTTAATTGATTATTATTAATTACACTTGTCTATTGTGAATTATTTTCCATCGGAATTTCACTACATTTCGTTTGAAGTGCATATTTCTGTTTCTCGATGCTTAAATTAAAAGGTTTGATTAATTAATTGATTGATTAATATTGATAGGCTTTTTTTTTGCAATCATTCTATCGCGAGTAACGTTAATGTAGCGACGGCGCACCAGACTCCATAGAAAAAACAGGCAATTTAGTGTCCTCCTGCTCCTCGGCAGACTAACTTGCGGTGCAAAGCGATGTCTGGTACATTTAGGCTAATAATTGCAAGTCCCTATTTAATTCGGCACACACAAAACACGCACAGTGGCTCTTAAATTTAACGCAAATCCAACTTTCCCACCGGTAAAAGCAGTGCGACGCGTTAATTTCAGATTCTTCTGGAATTAGCTCGCCAGCTAACGAGCCGAATTGAGCAGAGAACGAGCGAGATGTATTTTTAGTTTTTAAATTAAATCGCGTTAGTCAGGTTCACCGAAACCCGGCGCAAAAGCACAAACAATTATTGTATTAAAAACAAAACAGAAGGTGCAACCCCTCCACGCCGGAGAAAGGAGCGTTTTTTGGGGATCTGGAGTGAAGTCCGGGATAATAAACTGACTGTTAGCGGTTAGCTGACGGCAACGCAGACACACACACACACTTACAGGGTTTTGGGCTGGTCATCGTCCATTCTGTGTAACTTGCTGGCCGAGAACAAGTCGCAAACCCTGAGAGCAAATCCACGACTGTCGCGGGCAGCTGCCTGTGACACCGTCGAGTTGTTTTATTGCGCAGTATGATCAGATTTACCACCGCTGCTAGCTCCACAGTGAACAATGGGGGTTAGCCGACAAAGATGGCGGAGCGACCGGGGGGGACCGACACGAAACGCGCATGCGCAGTAGTTCAACCAGAGGCTAACTTTGTAGTTTTATTACGAAAACAAACCGCCGGCTGAAAACTGAGCCCATTAAGTTTATTTATTTTATTTTCCCTGTGAAGAATGTGAGCTGTGAAATCATAAATAATAATATATGTATAATATTACGAGAATAAAGTCGTAATATTACGAGAATAAAGTCATAATATTACGAGAATAAAGTCGTAATATTAGGAGAATAAAGT